TTTATCTCTACGTGTCTTTCTAGATCTAAAACTATATGAAATATCCACAGAGGTTAACGTTAAATTGAGAGGAAGGGAAAGCTGACTGCAGGTATTGTAAAGAAGCACAGTTAAAGATGCCCATTGATGAGAAATTGTAGTTTTAGATTTCTACCTCAGGGGTGGCATGCTTAGAAGGGCCAAATGCTGAATAGGGCTGTCTTTTCCCAGGCTGGGCCTGGCACATAGTAGCAGCTGGTAGTTACAGTGCTGCAGAAAGGAAGGTAACCTTTGCCTGCCCTCTGCAGACCACCCACCCAAAGTGGAATATGTACCAGACTTGTCTGCACACCTTTCCTAAAGGATAGATCCTTCAATTTGCAGTGTGTCCTGAGCCCACAGCTGTGCTGGACGCAAGTTCATGCTCAAATGTTGGTCTATAAGCAGATATCAGACGTCTCGGTGTATATTTCATCTATTAAGTATCCCGAAAGAGCAGGCGACTGGAGAGTTCTTTTACCTCTGGCAAGTAACAGTGATATCCTACTAGACAAAAGGCAGCAGTACAGCGCCCTGCTTTGAATAGACTATCCTTTACAGTATAGATGTCTTCTCCTTCAAGTTTCTTTTTATCAAATCTCATTTTTAAAGACTAGAAAGAACCTTTTTGTCCCCCTAAAGATAAGTCTCTCCTTACCGTAAGCCTGGCAATTTGGAAATTCTCTTCTAAATGAAGCATTGGTTTCTTACTAGAAATTATTGTTGTAAAACCATTTAAACCTATTTATACCCATTTATACAATGGAACAAAGATAATTTCTGTGTACATGCAGTTGAATAAAATGAAATTCTAATGAGACTGACCAAAAAAAAGACTTATCTAAAGGTTACGAGCAAGAAGAACACTATTCTCAGCAGTACAAAGGTCGATATTAAATGAAGTAATTCTAGGAAATGGGGGGAGACATTAGGGAAAAAAATAAGGTGAGGCGATTGACTTGAATATGAAGCTAACTGAGAGCATTTGAAAATAGGAATGAGACCATAATGAGAAATGTTCGGTGTAGTGAGGGCCTTTAGACCTGGCTCTGAGGTCTCACCAGGTCAGCCTGACAGAGGAGGTATGCCCTCTGCAGTCCTGAGTGTTCTTTGTATAACTGCTGGATTGCCACAGAAGTCCTTCAGTAACGTGCTTACTTGATAGGAATTGAGTAGGATGGTGTTCCTCAAATGAAGCTGAAAACTTCAAAGAAATGCTAAGTCAGAAGCTCACAGCTACAGGCAGAGAAAATAAGGACCATGAGCATTGAGCTTTGGTGTCATAGTCTGTGGGGAGTTGGCCTGTCAACCCAAAAGGCTATACCCCTCTGGCGGTTTGAATACCCCAGCAGCTCTGAGGGAGGAAGATGAGCAGCTGCCTCCTGTGCAATTTACAGCCTCAAAAAGCTTAGCTGTGAGTCAGTTCTAACTAGATAGCAATGAATTGTAATTGTTACTTTCTTGAGTGGGTTCTGGTGATCTTGTTCATAGGGAGATGTGCTACTAACCCACAGGCCATGCCTGTCTAGTGGTTCAAATCCACCAGCAGCCCCACAGGAGAAAGATGAACAATCTCCTCTGTGCTGTTTGCAGCCTCAGAAACCCAATGAAGGATCAGCTGTGATTTGGTTTTGAGTTGAGTCATTTTCTTGAGGAAAATGAAAAAATGGCATTTGGTTGCCAAATAAATTTTACAAACCTAGCTGCCTTTTTATTGTAACATTGTTTTCATGCAACCAGGATCACATTGTCACTGGCTTAGTTCATAATTTATAGCTACCAACTTGGCTCCTCCAGCATGTTTCTAAGGCTGTAAATAGGTGGAGATTGCCCGTCTTTCTCCCTTGGAGCCACTGGTAGAGTAAAACCATTGGAGACTTGTGGCCTTTGGGTCAGCACACTAAGGCACTACAGGAAACACAACCAGAGCTTCCTACTGTATCAGATACTTCCAGATAAATGAACAATTGATAAATACACACACACATACACGTATAATGTTTTAAGTATTTCATGATGAAAAGCAGTACAAGATTCTTGAAAAGAAAGGAATATAACAATTTGTGATGAATGAAGAATACTGACTTGCCTAGAAGTATCTTACATAGATTATGTCCATAATGAGCAAAAGAAAAACAAATTTCTATATTTAGGTGTTTACTGAAATAATTGTTAAGTGTTTTATTACTGTTTTTATTGTTACCATTTTTAGAATGTCTTGGAGTTTTGTTTTTCTTTTTATTATGTTTGAATGAAAGGTTACTCAGCAAGTTAATTTTCCAGTCAATATTTTATACACGTTTTTATGACCCCAGTAAGGTCCCCACACTAATAACACTCTTCCTGCCTCCTCCATGTGATTCTTGCTTCCATTCATCTTGCTAGTCTGGCCCTTCCTGTCTTCTGAGCTTTCTTTCTGGGAAAATACTGCTTTTGCTTGATTGTTCTAAGGAGTGAGGACCTCCTTAGTGTTATTGCCTACTTCTTAAGCACATCTAATATCTGAATGAAAGTTAAGCCACAGAGTTGAGCTTGATTCCAGGCTCAAGGGCATATTAAGGATGGCAGTCTGCGGGGTTCCCCCTGTCTCTCTTAGACCAGCAAACCTGGTCACTTTTATGAGTTTTAGTGTTGTTCCACATTATTGTGATAATTATTAAGTGTGGCAGATTGAACACGTGAATTTATTTACATTCTCCCTATCCTGAGGCCTCATTAATATACAGTGAATAGGAAAAGACATAAACTGCAAAGACAAGGAGAATGGGGGGAAGAGTCTAGCCTATAATGAGCAAAAGAAAAACAAATTTCTATATGTAGGTGTTTACTTAAAGAATTGTTAAGTGTTTCTTAATATGGAAAGCACGCAATTGAGAGGCCATTGCCTGAAGTCTAAAGCCTGCTAGTGGAGGAAGAATGCATGATGAAAATTTATGCTACAAAATCCAAAAAGACACAAGAATTAGAATGATGAGAAATTTCAGAAAATATGGGAGCAAATAATGCTAAAACAACAAAGATTCATTTAAAGTGCAAATCAGGAGCGGTTCAGGCCCTTTTACCTGTACTACCCAAATGACTGCTTCTTCCCAAAGCTGACAGAAGTCAGGCGATTGAATGAAAATCACTTAGGAGTGGGGCCACCAGGCATAGCTAGAGATAGGAATACCATACACAAACAGCATGACTAAGTGGAAATCCTTTGCCTAATCAGTGAAATACTCAGCCCACTTCTGGAACCTCTGGAAAAAAAGTGGCAGGGCATGTTATACACTTAGAAGTCCAAACTTACTATTGTCCCACCTTCAGCTTGTTTCTCTGAGCCCTTCTTATTAGTGAGGCCTTCAAGAGGCAGCCCCTCCCTCTGCTCCCAGGGAAGAATGAGCTCTTATGTGGCCAGGAACACAAAACAAGGCTGGGGCTCTCAGCCTGGTCATTCCTTAGTAGGCACTGTACTTATAATCATCTTTTAGTGAAATAACCAATACTTATACTCAGCAACATATACTCCTGGTAGTACAAGTGGTTCCTCACTTAGCACACATTCCATTTACAACGAGCCACACTTAGGATTGTTTGTGTATTTTAACATATTATTGTATAAAAGAGCCCTGGTGGCCTAGTGATAGAAGCTGCACTGCAATCCCAAAGGCATGCAATTCAAATCTACCTGCTGCTGCTTCATCAGAGAAGGATGGGCAGTCTTGTCCCGTGCAATTTACTGCCTTTAAAAACCTGCTGGAGAGTCAACTATGAGTCTTTTCTGACTAGACAGCACAAAACAACAACAGCATTATTATTGTTACTGTCTTTATTAATCCAGATTACATGGTATTTTAGTGAATAATTTACTTACATGTTTAATGTTACAATTTAAAAATATATTGACAATAAAATGTAATCATAATGAGCTCTGGGATGGGGGGGGCATATTCAACTTATGTCAGAACTGACTTACAATGGAGTCCTCAAAGTGGAATCCTATAGTAAATACTCTCAGCTGTAAGTAGCTATAATAAAAGCAGCAATGTAGTATTAGTATAAGATTACCTTGTGCCAGTCACTGTTCTAAGCATTTTATATACCTATTTCTCACTTACTGGCATAGTAAGGATCCTAAGACAAGGTTGTTATGTGAAAACGGATGTTATATAAACATGGAATATGACTGCATCACTACATGACTGCCCAGTTTTATCATTATGTAAATGGTATATCACAGAAACATGGTCCAGCCAGACATGACCATAACCTTAACCGAATGTTACTCTCACTTTGTACCTTGACTTTTGTTATAGCCAGACATACATAATTTATGCACAAACAGCTTTTATTTTACTGTTTTTGTAAATATGAAATGTTGGATAATGAGGTATTTGTATGTGGAGGGTGACTGTAGATATTTCTTCCTTTTAAACTTCTTACAATACTATGAAATAGGTATTATGATTGACTCTAGTTTTCAGAGGAGGAAGCTGAGATATAGAGAGGTTAAGGTCTAAGATGTCTAACTGCAAAAACTAGAACCCAAAACTCAGATCTTTATCCCCAGTCCTAGCTTTATGCAACCACATTACTTTCTATGAAGTGTACACCAAGAGAGCGACATGGCGCCTTCGAGAAATACAGATTTGTACTGTTTAATTCCCTTTAACAAAAAACAATGGTGTTAGTTTGCCAGTTGGTTTTTGTGTTCATATAAATCATTTAACATTATTTATTCAGTGGAATAAATAATATGATTGAGCACTTAGCTATGTGCCTAGGTATGTGCTGAGCTTTTCTTAATCCTCATAAGAAGCTTAGAATTTATTTAAACTCTGAAGTCTTTATATTTGTTTCACAGCCCACACTCTTGAAAATTTCAGATTACCACTTACAGAATTTCAAAATTGTTTATGATTCCAGAGATTTTCCACATTATCCCTATCCATTTTTTTATGGTTTTATTAAAATATATTACTGTACTTTTCTCCCCCTAGGTATATGTTCCAGATGAAAATAATGCTATTTTGGGAAGAAATACAAATAAGCAAGTGTTTGAAGGCTTGACCACAGGTCTTCTGAAAGTTGGAGCTGTGGTTTTTGGCTGCCTAATTGCCAATCGACCAGATGGAGCCAGCCAGCCAGCTACCCCAAAAATATCAACACAGGAAGTGAAAAACAAGCCCTCACAGGGTGATGTTTTTAACAGTAGAGTTCAAGACCTCATCAGGTAAGATTGCTAGACTTCTTAAACTTTCTTCTTTGTTAAAACAAATTATATTAAAATGCTTTCCATCTTGGGGCCCATATGATGACAGTAGTTTTTAAAACCTCATCCACAAATTCCTGGTAGAGAATACACCCCCCCTTTTTTTTTCGTAAAGAGAAGGTAATTTCTACTCATGAACAGCAACAAATTTTTACTAATGACATTTCATGACAAAATTAGAGCTTAGATGTCATTGTCAATATTTAGCCATACAGGCCATAGTCTTTGCAATCACTTGTTATGCATCAGAGAGTTGGACAATGACTAGGGAGGATAGAAGGAGAATTGATGCCTTTGAGCTGTGGTGCTGGAGAAGAGTATTGAATGTACCATGGACTGCCAGGAAAACAAACAGATTCATCCTGGAGAGGGTTAAACCAGGCTACTCCTTGGAGGCAACGATTCTGGGGCTTTGTCTGACATACTTTGGACTGTTGTAAGGAGAGACAGGTCCTTGGAGAAGGACATCATGCTTGGTAAGGTGGAGGGACAGCGCAGGAGGGGAAGACCCTCTGTGAGGTGGATTGATTCAGTGACTGGGGTAATCAGGATGGGTGTGTCAGAGGCCATGGGATTGGCACAGGATAGAGCAGGGTTTAGGGCTGTTGTACATAGGGTCACTATAAGTCTCAAACGACTCAACAGCACATAACAACATAACAACAACTTGATGGTAGACTATATGGTACCCAAGCTTTTACAACTTTGTAGATAGTCTTTCCAGTTGAAAGGATTTCTGATAATTCACCTATCCTGGGTCATCTTTAGTTGTAAATTTCACTCAGATTGAAATTCCGCGATGTTGTTGTTGTTGTTAAGCACTGTCAGGTCAGAACCAGTTCACAGCTGACTCTCCAAGTAGATTTTTCAGAGGCTGTTAAATCACTTGTGAGGAGATTGCCTGTGTTTCTCCCATGGAGTAACTGGTGGATTGGAACCTCCTTGTTGCTCTCTAAGCCATCATATAATAGCTACAATTTATAGGACACCCATTATGTGTCAGATATTATAGTAGATGCTTTACACATAGAATCTGTTTAATTCTTATTATCAGCCCTATGAATGTAATATTAAAATTTAGACTTTTTAAGTGAGGAAATTGACCCTTAGGAAGATTATGTGCTTTGTTCAAGATTGCGTAGTAAGTGAAAAGGTAAGGAAGAAAAGTGAGACCAGAACTCAGGTCTACGTAGATTCCAAACACCAATACACTCTTAATACTTGTCTCTAGCTTGGTTCACCAGAGAAACAGAACCAGCAGCCAATGTAGCTTGTGTGTATATGTGTGTAAAGAGAGATTAACTGATTTATTTCAAGAAAATGCCTCACATGATTGAGTAAGTCAGTCCCAGGTTTGTAGGTCCAACCTCAAGATGTCACCGCCTAGACAGGCAGAGCCCAGCTCATCAGCAGCCAGGGAGAGTCTCCAACTGCTGGCTTTGGAGGCTACAAGCTTCAGAGGTTGACACATCCCAGAATCGTTGTTGGGAAGCATGGTCACAGGCAGCGGCTTCAGATACTGATAAGTTTGAAGTCAGCAAGAACTGCAGGTCACTTGAGACCATGAACCCGATCACCAGATTTAGGTCTGACAAAAAGCTCTGTAGTTTATTGCCAGAGTCCAGACATATAAGTGTCATGCAGGCCACACTGCTTTGACCTACGCTTAACTAGCAAAGGGTAATGATGCTTCATCTCACATACCTTGAACATGTTGTTAGGAAGGGTGGGTCCTTAGAGAAGGACATTCTACTTGGAAAGATGGCGAGTCAATGTAGGAGAGGAAGACAATGGGTTGACATGGTGACTGTAAGTGTATCAGAGACAATGAGGATGGCACAAGATAGAACCAGGTTCAGATCTGTTACTCATAGAGTTGCTATGAGTCACAATTGATTCCCTGGTACATAACAATGATAATCACAGGTTTACATATAATCCTGTCTTATTAGCATCATGTTGTTGTGTTGTTATGTGCCATTGAGTTGGAACTGACTTAGAGTTTTTTCAGAGGAGTTTCAGTGGCAGTAAATTACGTGGGAGGAGATTGCCCTCCTTTCTCCCTCAGAGCAGCTGGTGGATTCAAACCTTGTACCTTTCTGGTGGCAGTGCAACTCCTTAGCACTGAGCCACCATAGGACCGTTATTAATGTTAGAGAGGTTAGAATTTATAGCTCACAGAATAGTTACGATATACTGAGAATCATAGCCTCATTAACACACAATATTAACTATGTCACTGCTCATATGTGGTAATTTCTGAAACCTGTTTAAAATCAATTCAGCTTCCTTCTAAGTCTGCCTTTTTTCCAGGGAAATTTACTGGTAACATGGCACCTGAACTCTTTTGGCCTCGTAAATTTTGAGTCAGGTAGAACATTACCTGTCTGGCTTATCAACAACTCTTCTTTAACCTGCACTGATTTCTGGCTCCTAAAATCCATTCATTTGTTCTCTCAAGCTTTTGGTAGGTTAGAAAAGGGAAGAGGATGCCCTCCTCTGCATTGTTTCTTTCATGCTTCATAAATTTCTCCTGGTATCTTGTAGCGCTTTCTTGGGATCAGTTGTTTCATTCAGTGTCTTTGTTAGCCTTGATTACTGTGTTCACTTATCCAGTCCATCTGCCTGGTCTCTTTCCCCAAACATATTTATTGCCAGAGAGCACTGGGCCCTTTGGGTCCACAACCATTTATCTTACAGCACTTGACTTTTCCCCTCCCTGGCCTTTCTCTCAGTTGCTTGATCCCATTCAATTTCCCCATGTCCTTTTGGTCATTGTAGAGCCTAACCCCCTCTGTTGATGAATGTCATTCTGTCCCAGCATTCTCCCTTGGGCTCCTTGTGATGCAGCAGCCCTGCATTCTTGTCTGGACAGCTCAGCCACATACCTCAGCTGTGATGAGGCGGAAGAGCCAGCAGAATGCTTCAGTGCAACTCCGATGGGTCTTTTGGGGGGAAATACATGCTTTTTAACATATAATAGTATAGTTCTCAGATCCTTCCTAAAGGAAGAAGCTATTGGATTTTTTTTTATTAACAATAGTTATCTGCCAAACTAAGCAACTTAACTTGAAAAGAATGGTTAGTATGTCACATTTTCTCTGATCTGGATCATTTTTGGCAAATACTGTTTTATAGATAATACTTTAGTTACCTCGTTGATACCATACGTTTGTATGACTAAAACTATATCTTAAATCATAATGAAAATAGAGCAATGTGTATAATGCTGTTAAAGTGTTAAAATCACTTATTCAACCATGCTTATATTTGCAAAAAGAAAAATTTCAAGTCAATAATTTCCATTCCTGCCATGAGAGGCTCAAAAAGAAAAGTAATAAAACTCTGAGGAGAAATAAAAAAATTAACTAAATCAATGAAATATAAAGAACATTATATTGTGGTTGTTGTATACCGCAGAGTCAGAACCGATCCATAGCTGACCCTCTGGTGGATTTTTCAGAGGCAGTTAATCAAACAGGAGGAGACTGTCTATCCTTTTCCTGCGGAGCATCTGGTGGATTTGTACCAGGTGCCTTCAGGATTGCCGTGCAGCTTCTTGCCACTAGGCCACCAGAGCTCCACAAAATAGAAAAAATTGAATTAATAAAAGTGGTAAACATGTAACAAGAGTGATAAAGGCTAATACTCTTACTGAAAGGAAGGTATATCACTGCAAATCTTACACACTAGACATAAAACTGATCTCAGCCTCCCTCATTGCCATCAAGTTAGAACTCGAATGAAATGAGAATGACAAGGAAGCCATGAGAAAGGTGGGATTACATTATGGTTATTGTAATTAATATTCTAAAACAAAATACATATGAATAGTTTAATGTAAAACCAACTTGATTTGTAACATTTCACTTAAATCACAATTGTTTAATTTATAGCATAAAAATTATATGTGCTAAAACTTTGAACACTTTTCCCAGATTAGGCTATACTAGGACCTTCTGTTCAACATTGTACCAAAAGTTCTAGCAAGTTTAATGAAAAAAGAAGATAGATAGAAAAGGCATAAAATTTAAAAGGGAAAATAAAACTACTGTAAAAGTGTCCTGATTGCATATGTAGACAGCTATGTCATCTACTCCTCCCCTCAGATTAAAAAAACTACTGCAGTTAATTAGCAAATTTAGCAAAATTATAAGTTAGATGGTCAATTTATGTAAATGTACATTTCACTTCCAAGAACTAGCAATGAAAATCAATCTCTTTCTCTCTCTCTCTCCACAGACACACACACTCTCTCTCTCCCTCCCTATCTTTCCCACCCTCTTTTCCCCCTCTTTGTCTCTCTGTGTCTCAATCATTGACCTTTCCATTAGCACCTACATTCTTTACCCACTACACCACCAGGGTTCCTGCCATTTATAATGGCATCAGGAAATAGCTGATACCCCTGAGTAAATCTGATGGAAGGTGCAACACCTCTACCAAGCAATGCTGCAAGAAACTAAAAAAGACATAAATGAAAATAGAGGTGTGTGGTGTTCATGTGTCAGAGGATTCCATTGTAAATGTCAGTTCTCTACAAATCAGGTATAGATTCAGTACATTTGCAATCATGATTCTAGTTGGCTTTTTGAAGAAATTTTCACTTTTATTCTAAAATACACATGTAAATACTAATGACTTCTCAAAACTCATTGTTGCTGAGTTAAAACCAACTCATAGCTGACTCACTATTGGATTTCAGAGAATGTGAATTTTATGGCTGGAGATTACCCATTTTTCTCCTTCAAAATTGCACAACTTCTCTACAGATTACCCTACCAGAGATCCCTCACCAATGATCTAGAACAGCCAAGACAATTTTGAAAAACAGTAAGTTGGAGGACTGATTTAAATATTTACTATATAATACCAATTATTCATATAAAGATAGGACAACAGATCAAAACAATACATTCAATAGTAGTAGGAATGTAAAACGGTGCAGCTACTATGGAAAG